GAGAGAAAGAGAAACGAGGAACCAACGATTCCAGCATCAGTGAGACACGAGGAAGGAATGCGTCCCGGTTGAGAGACAGAGAATCGGTATATATACCGGAAGATGCGCCTGCGAACTGGAGGCTTGTTTTACGTTTGGTTTTCTAGTGTGTAACAGAGGGCAGCATCTGATAGGAATTCAAATAGCAAAAACACTTTACAAATATCGACACGAATGCCGATATGGATTGAAAGAAAAGTATTTCTTGCATTAATGATTATAGCGGTTCCAAGTATAATTACTTCAATAAAAAGCGCGTTGAAGCGTTCAAATAAAAATCGAAGTATTTGTATATAAACAAAATGGATCTTAATTAAATACAAATATTGAATATAAAAAGAATACAAAATTGAATATAAAAAATCTGCGATACAAATTTAGATATTTCAAGTGTAATCTAATATAAAAATCAATGATTTATAAGATTTAAAAAAAATTTATAATTAAATTACTCATAAAATATGATTATAATAATTATAAAATATCAAATTTTTAAATTTTTTTCCACAAATATATTTAAAAATATAAAAAATATAATAATAATATAAATTAGCAAAAATTGATTTTAAATTTATTGGAATTTGTGTAATAGTGTGTGTAATAGTTAATTTAATTTTATATTTATAATTTTAACGGAAAAGGAGAAAAAGAAATATAATAAGATAATAAATAAAATATCTTCTTGCGGAACTTTGCAAAGACAGCCATGCGTGTCAATAAGTAATAAAAACTTTCCAACCAAGAGCAACAAAAAGAAAAGAACTTTTTTCGTAATAATAATATAAAATGTTGGATACTATTTCTCGAAATAAATTAAAGGATATATTGAATTATAAGCATTTTTATTCTTATCACGGTGTAGTAATAATATTATTACTGTATGAAAAATTTGCTTTATTATTACATCAAGATATAAGTGAAGAATTTTGTGAAAAGAGTTGTTCAAACGCATCAAAAGTACATCGTATAATAGAATATTCTTTTTAACAATAGTACATATATTTTTTTAGCAATACATACATTTTTTCTTTTTTAAAAAAAGAAAATTTATTATTTTTCTTCAGAATATTAAATATTAAAGATAAACGAAAAATAAACATTATTTAAACGTGAATAAAAATTTATAAGAAAATTAAATGTCATGGAAACAATTAATCTACACAAATAAGAGGATAAAGAATCTGTGCATTCTTGTCTAGAACTTTAATATCGTTGCTAGACAAGCATTTACTTAAGGATTCATTAAGAAAAAATGGTTGTAATAGAGGAAATAACTGACTTTTCTGTTGAATGGAAGCCTCGTCAGCATATGCGATTAACATTATATATTATTGCGAAAGAATGTAATCCTCTTGTTATGTTCACGATATAAGCATTCCATGGAACAGCGCTTCATGTAAATATATG